GCTTACCTACTAAGTTTTAGGAATTGTAGTTCTCTATAAGGTTAGACTTTCTTGATTTGGTCAATTGTTTATATTTCTTTCTGTTTAGTGGTTGCCATTAACCCACACAATCAATCTCACTCTCATCTGCAAGACCATTTACGGTAAACGTTAATTCGTTCATTCACGGTTAAAAAACTTCATAAACTGATAATACCTTTAGGTCTTTATTGGTGAAACATTGGGTAAAGAGTACCAAAAGATTTAAAAATATGTTCAAACTTTTGTTTTTCGCAGATAATGGGTATCACCCATTGTCTTCGAAAAACAAAACACCAGTTGTGATTATAATAATTGTAAGACATTAATAACTTTTCTCAGCAATTCAACAAGCTTGATTTACCATTGATAAACAACGTTGTTTACATTTTTATAAAGTTATTTAAAAATGCAGATCATTACCATGTGCTTATGAGCACTTGAATGATGGTAATGACCAAATGTTCATTTTGAGCAACGGGATAAAGCGAAAAATATCGCGAAATCATGTTTTATTCGCGGCAAAAACTACGTGACTCGTTGTCGGCCCATACTCTTTTATTTCTTCTAACTACGGAAGGTCTCCAAGTAGCCAATCACTTTTTCGTTAAAATAGACATGGTTATAGGGAATAAAATAAGCTTCACATTATTAAGTGGTAGAAAATTGGGGTTTTCTGATCCTCTCCAGGCTTGACTCGAAAATTTTTCAGTTGAAATTGGACTAATTTCAGTTTTCTAATCGAAAATTGCTGCTTTCTAAGGTGCCGGAAATTCAAAAGTACCGTGACAAAAACGAATCTAGTCGAATTATACATGATTGGATAGAGCGCGCCGAACTGATCACGAATATGAGCTTCAAAAATTTTTTAAGTCAAACGAAGGGCAGAACAAGTTGAAAAACGAAAAAACCGCCTGTTTTCGAGAAATTGAAGGTTTTCACCACTTTGTGGGCCGCAAAAATTTTTCTCTCTATTTTATTTGAATTCAACATTAAAAGTTTAGTAGATTCAAGTGACTTTGGAAAATTTTTGACCTTCGCCTATCGCCTTCCGTGGATGTCAGACCCAGATTGAGACCTCGGTCGGGCAAACCTATCTCCTCCCTGGTTTTGAAAATAAACGGGCACTATTATACACCATTCGAACCGCCTTTTGACGGGCTACAATAATATGCTCGCCTTTTTTCAAAAATATTTTTTCCCTTCAAAGAAATCGATCTTCTATATGCCTCACGTCACATCACAATACTTGTTATTGAGCTGCAATATAAGTTCAAAACTAAACTCGGTTGAAGTACGCTATTATGAGATGCAAATAAGTGTTTCATGAAATTTCATATTGTTCCACATCACTTTGGAATGTTTAGGACGAAAAAATATGCTATCTTCTTCGCATAAATACTCTCTTCTTCTGATCTTTTAAGTAGAATATCAGACTGAATAGTAGCCTTCCGTCCCGGTTGGATTAGGAAGAACCTTGCTTACTTCTACTAGTGTGCTTATTACGGTCTTATTTATTGCTCTCGTTTGCTTCTCTCTTTCTCTCTTCCTTTCTCCCATTCTCTTTCGCTCACATTACTTAGAGCGAGCCTGCCAAAGTGAGTTGACCACTTCAGCTTACTATAAGATCTATACATTCTCTAACTGTCCTATCCTATCATCATGCCTAAATACAAAAAGCAAAAAGCCCACGCTCTATCTGCGGCAGCTGCTTCGTCAGTAACGCGAAAAGAAGGGGAAGTGAAGGACGTTGAAACTTTCGAAGACGAAATCGAAGAAGGCGAACTGGAGACTATGAGTACGGAGGGGGAGAACGAAGACGATCATGATGATGATGTAGAAGAATACAATCCGAACAGGGATCCCAGATTGTCTGATTTTAGCAGAAAAAGTCTTATTTTGAGACTTTTTTCTGCCTCGTTTCTTATTTTCTTATTTGTGGAATTTTTTCTTATTTTAGAATCTTTATTTGATATTGAACGAAAATTTGATCTATAATTTTTTGTTCTAAAATTTTTTATGTACAACTAACCGTTTGGGTATGAGAACAAACAACGTTCTGATTTTTTTTCTGATTTCCAACTTGTTTTTCTGATTTTTGTCTGATTTTGAAGTTTTTTTTCTCATTTCTGTCTTTTAGATCTGGGATACCTGAATCCGAAGAAAGATGATACGACATTCAAAGAAAAGCTCGACTTGTCAGCTATAGCAGATCTATTCGAACTATGCAAAAGCCAAAGCGGAGTCCGAAATCTCTCAGTCTTGATCTATACATTATTACGCCATTTAGGCATTCCACTGGTCACGATAGAAACGCTTCTAACTGCCATCGGGGCCTAGAATCGTAAACCTGCGCACAAATGGGCCAAAGTCTTTGTTTCCGGAGATTTCAATACTTCCATTGAAGATAATCGAGGTGGCAAACAAACCGATTCATTCTACGACACCTATCCAGACAAACCCTATACAGGGAATGCGGTGCCACATGAAACAGTTTGTACGCAGCCACTCTGATCAAACGTTTCCCACGATGCTCAAATTGATTGACGAATCACGGGACAACTTTAAGGAGAAACAAATTCAACTCAAATTTTTGGAAGACACTCGAGGCGTATAAAGAAAGGAAAACTTATGCAGAAGTTCTGACCTATTTCTTCAGCAATTTATGTCGGCCCGATGTCCATTCCCAACGAAGAATTTCCAATACGAAACTGCAATAGGCCAAGTAACAAAGACGAAGTCACTCTAACAAATAGCACAATATTTTTGTGGGGTATCAGAAATATGTGTGCGAAGTCGAAAACCCCCATTGCAATCAGGTGTCACGGACGCTGTTTGTAATTATTGCCGCGGTGGAGCTTCTCCTTCTCTCTCTGTTTAATAAAAAATCCTCAAAAGTAACCCCAAAAAAAGTAAAAAATAATCAAAAAACTAAAAAAAAGGTTATGTGTGAGTTTTTAGTAAACTTCCTCGAATCTGGGTGAGCTCTACGCGCTGAGGAAGAGATAACCATGTATAATTCGACTAGATTCGTTTTTGTCACGGTACTTTTGAATTTCCGGCACCTTACTATAAGTTCACAAAATAAATTTGATTTCTTTCATTCGTTTAGTGAACAAACTCATTTCGGTCTCTCATATAAAAACCATCTGTTTGCTGCAAATTGTGCGATCTCTCTTGCCCTATCTAATGAAACTGACTCTTTCTGTAACGCACTGAAGGAAGAATTTCCAACTGCGTATTAGCTCTGGATTAGGTAATTGTCGGTACTTCGGTACCAGAATGTTTTCGCGCAGTACCGAAAATTTGGGTTCGGTACTCTGTTAGGTATCGAATCTTTTGGTACTTTCGGTTCGGTACCAGGGAAAGTACCGAAAAGTTCGATACCTACGGCAAAAATTAAGGGACGAGAGTCTTCGCGATTTTAGAAGGAAAAAGCTTCTTATGAGTTCAAAAATAGATTTAAATATTGAAAAAAACTTCGGCACTTTCGGTACGGTTCCAATGGTTGGTACCGAACGCTCGGTACCGGTACCGACAATGACCTACTCTGGATGTAGAACTAAAACAAAAATCGAAATTTCTAAAAATGCTAGCGGTAGGATTTCTCTGGAACCTGATTTTACTTAAACAGCCCATACTCTTTTATTTCTTCTAACTAGGGAAGGTCTTCAAGTAGCCAATCGCTTTTTCGTTGAAATATCCATGGTTACATAGTCTGAAAGTAGGATTGTTCAGATCGTAGACAGAGAGAAAAAATCTTGCTTTCTGGTTGTTTTTCATTACAAAGGAATGGACCGATTAGCCATCAGTAATTTATAAAACGCTGGAAAAAATAAATCTTCAATGTAATATGAACACCGTTCGATGAATGTCGGAGGTAGTTTACATAAAATACTTTCAGATGAAAATGACAAAGACAAAATCCCTCTCTCCTTTTCTTCTGTTCTTTTCTTATCGCTTAGATTATATCCCATTGTAGATACAAAGAAAGAAAAAAAAAACGAAATAAAAAGAAAAATAACATTCGTGACGTGCCCACAATCCGCATGACAAAATAAGAATACTAAATTTCAACAGCAACTAAGGTATATTTTTTAACGAACTGTAGGGGATTAAATATTTCTATATTTTTATACATGGTTATAAGGAATCTTCGATGCTGATCACGAATATAATATCCGCTCAGGCCCATATGATCTCCTGGTGTGAGTCTTTAGAAAACCGATCTCTGAAAACTCATCTTAAAACCCAGCAAACTATTAAGCCCCCCCTCTCTCGATCAGAAAGCTATCTCAGGCCAGGTTGGGGGGGTACCAAACTTTCAGGCAATGTTGACCATGTTAAAGTGTGGTAACAAAATTTTTTTTGGCATCACTTGCAACTGCTCGTGAACGGGCGTCAAAACAAGGGTCCAAGAATAGGCATCTACCACGCACAGAAATTCTCATTCCAGGTAAAGATAGAGGGCTCGGTCTGTGTTTGTTTTGCAGTAAACACCTCTGCCGAGGAGTTGACAGAGCCCGATTTTTGAATTTCTCATTTACTGGATTTCTGGTGCTTAATAGAACTTTACAATCCGAAAAATCCATGGAAAGTTTCCCAGAAATCCTCATTTCTATAAAAATAGAAGCATAATTTAAAAATCGGACTCTGTCAACTTCTTGCTATAGGTGTTATCTACAAATCAAAAAAAAGAAAAACTCCGATGTATCGTCACCGAGAATTCCTGTGCGTGGCGAAAGCCCTGATGCTAAAAAACAGTCTAAAGAAAAACGCAAAATAAATTTTGATTCTGTTAAATGCATTTTACTTAAAAACTGTTTGAGCGTTAAATAATTTATTGATATTTTGCTATAGGTTACCGGTCATGGCGGATCTAATGAACATGTGCGCGGCCATGTGCGGCACATGCATGCGCTAATGCAATACAACTGCGAAAAAGCGATTTTTTGTGCTATAGGAGTTCTCGCTCAAAAGCTATGAAAAACCTATCCTATCGACATAAACATTATGCCATTAAATTATTAGATTTAAATACTCGCGATGGATCTCCAACACAATCTGTTAGTGGCGCCTTCACCGGAGATCTCAGTAGCTGCGCTCGAGCATAAAAAAGAATTATGGGGAAATGAAATGTTATTTGAAGCTTATTTAAATCTAAAATTTTCATCCAATGAATTTCAGTTCGAATTTTGAATATCCTATATGTTTTAGTAACACTATAGCGAATGCACTTAGTCGTCAGTCCTCATACCATTAGAAAGTAGACACTTTGGGCTATCCAATCATGTGCTTTTCTCAAAATCAATGGTTTTGACGAAAATCGGCATTTCTGACCCAGGGGGGTGCCTTAACATCTTAAAACTCGCTGGAACATTTTGATCCGTCTGTTTTGCAGAATATGTCGAGTTACCTGCATCAAGTAATATGCAAGCCTGAAGCTTGAGTGTTGACTAATGTCAACAAATTCCAGATCAAGATTTCCCCCAAAGCGTTGACTTTCCACCTGTTTTAAGAATAAAATTTCTTAAACTCAGCCAAAATTCAGTCTTCACCCCTGGACGTTTTTTCATGCACGTAAATCGACATACTCTACAAGACAGATCGATCAAAATCTCCTCATTCTGCATTTTAATACGGGTCTTCAGAGATCGGTTTCTAAAAACGCCCACAAGAAACCATATGGGCGCGAACAAATATCATATTTATGATCTGCATCGAAAATTCCCTATAACCATGTATATTTTAACGAAAAAGCGATTGACTACTTGGAGTCTTTGTCTTGTCAGAAGAAATAAAAGAGTATGGACCGTTTAAGTAAAATCAGGTTCCAGAGAAATTCTACCGCTAGCATTTTTAGAAATTTCGATTTTTGTTTTAGTCGTACATCCAGAGCTAATTCGCAGTTGGAAATTCTTCCTTCAGTGCGTTACAGAAAGAGTCAGTTTCATTAGATAGGGCAAGAGAGATCGCACAATTTGCAGCAAACAGATGGTTTTTATATGAGAGACCGAAATGAGTTTGTTCACTAAACGAATGAAAGAAATCAAATTTATTTTGTGAACTTATAGTAGAAAGCAGCAGTTTTCGATTAGAAAACTGAAATTAGTTCAATTTCAATTGAAAAATTTTCGAGTCAAGTCTGGAGAAGATTCCGCCGAGTTTCTACCACTTATTAACGTGCAGCTTAATTGATTTTCTAATACAATCAATCTACTACTCTATCACTATCGTACAATCAAAGTTTACAAATAATAATGGCATCAAAATTTAGTAGCAAGTCAACTACAAAAAATGAAGAAGAAATTCGAGTTATATTACTTGGAAGAACAGGAACAGGTCAGCATACTTTACTGATGCGTTCGAAATAGTTATAGTTGTAAATCTATTTATAAACTATTTATTTATAAAACCTTAATTTATAAACGGTTTATAAATGCTTTTCTGCTGGAAAATCAAGCCAAAAAAGTTAGGATGCTAAATATTTATAAACCATCTTATTTCGGACTCTTCAGTACGATACTTATAGTCTGATTTAATAATTTATTTTTGTTGATCGGTTTTTCAGGAAAAAGCTCATTAGGCAATACATTATTAGGTAAAAAACAATTTAAAGCACAAAAAAGTCCTAAATCAGTAACAAAACAATGTGAAGGTGGTGATCGTATATTTCTGAATAAGAAATTGATTGTTGTTGATGCACCTGGATTTTTGGATACAGATATTCAAGAGGAAACGATTAAAAAAGAAATATCTAAAAGTTATCAGGTAGCTGCACCTGGTCCACATGTTTTTCTACTTGTACTGAACCTCGATCGTTTTACTGAGCAAGAAAAAAAAGCTATAAAATGGTTAAATCATATATTTGGTCCAGAAGCTGTTGACTATTGCATTGTTATATTTACTGGATTAGATACACTAGTGGAGGAGGAAAGAACAATCGAACAGTTCATTGGTGATGATCCAGAACTTGACTCATGCATAAAAACTTGTGGTAATCGTTATATGGCTATTAATAATAAAGCTACAGGAAATGATCAAGATGTACAAGTAAAAACTTTATTAGATAAAATTTCAGCAATGGTATTGAAAAACGGTGGTCAATGTTATACAAATGACGGATTTCAAGAAGTTGCAACTGAAGTTGAAAAAGAGATACAAAAAACAAATGGTGGCTTTCAACCAATTAAACCTGATGGTACAATTAATTTATTACCACAAACAGAAAAAATTGTCGACGGATTTCTACGACGATCGATTGGGCGTCGTGATATGTTTTAAATTTTGAAATAACGGGTGGCGCAGAATAAATTAGACTGTCAGTGTTTTTGAAATTCCTTCTCTTTCTCAAAGTCGATCAAGATCATTCTTATATCAAAAGATTCGCCTTTCAATTCTCTACGAAATGGTATATAACTGGTCAGGCTAGGTCCTAAGAAGATGCGTTCAATGAACATAAGGTTGTGTACTCCGAAAAAGCAGAAAATGTAAATGTCAAGAAACTTATTTCTCTAGTAATAAATCTAGCTATGGAATTGTATCAAAGCCGAATACGCAGTTTTGTAGCC